TCCTGGAGCATCGGCTGCTGTCGGCACAAAACACACGTTCACTTCAACAAATCAAGAACACGTCACACTGTGAGGTTTAAGGTCCTCGCACACTGAGTCCGAAACTTTCCGCCGGCATATACAACTTCTGATCGGGTTCGATTATCGCGTTTTTCGCATCCGTAGCCAGCCGTTTCAGAGGAGTTTTGACAATTCAGAGCCGCCGAATGACGAATAGGAAAACTTCGGACTCGGTGTGTAAGAACCTCTGAGCCGCGTCTCCACCGCAGGAACTTTCCCCGGGAACTCGGGACTCTTGGCTGGGACTCGACCCTGACGTCAGAACCCAACGCCGAATTGACGTCAACATCCGACATTGGACAGACGTTGTATTTTGGTTGGAAATGAAAGTCGGGTTGACGCCAGAACCAGACTGATGTTGGACACTGACATCAACCCGTCTGTCCAACGCTGGAGATTAATGTCAATCTGACGTGGATTCTGACGTGAACCTGATTTTCATTTTCAACGCACAGGGTCTAAATGAAGATCCGGTGAATATCTCCCGCTCAGGAAGTCCTGCTCGCGAGGCACTACTGTTCAAGGTTCAGGAGCTGTCGGGGGCGGGGCTTGTGCGCTGAACATGCTGATTGGTCGAGTTCATGCCGCATTTTGATTGGCTGACTCCCCGCAGCACTTGATCTGTCGCGGTGCGTGCGGGAACGGCTCTGTGCTGTTCACATCAACAATGGAGTTTACAAAGTACGGCCGATGGACCGACGACGAGGTTCAGGCTTTATTACGCTCAAACTCAGAGGATGAAATCCAGCGGGAACTGGGAAGCCGCGCGCAGTCCTGCGTCACCGGATCAATCCGCCTAATCTTCACGATACTTTAGACAGCGACAGGTCTGGGGAGAAACGCTCCTGGGAGAAAGTGTTCGGGTAATATCGGTGGAGACGCGGCTTTAGAGAAGAAAGAGCATCTCACGTCTCTCGGCGATCCGTCTCTCGGTCTGTGGATCTCGGTCTGAGCGGCGCTGAGCGTCTCTGCTAGCTGAGCTACGTCCTCCTCGCGCGACACTAGCACCGGCGGCTCCCAGCCGTCGCGGAAACACAGCGTGTGCCGAGGGAACGGGTGATCCTTCGGCCACTCCAACCTTAACACAAGACAAGAGTCACGTTTGTTTAGTGCTGTCACAATCGTTCCAAAGCAGCGTTACAGAAGGTCACACTGTCCAGTTTTAGAGCTGGAGGATATGATGTATAATGGTGCGTTCACACCGGACGCGAATAGCGCGTCAGGCGCGAGTGATTTCAATGTTAAGTCAATGCAAAGACGCGTTACGCGCGTAAAAAATTCCTGCGGCGCCAATGAGGCGTAGAGCGCGGCGCGGTAGACGCGAATACGCCTCATTCGCGCGTCAAGTTCGCGCGAATGGCGCGAATTGAGCGTCTGGCGCGTTAAGCGCGAATGATTTAGTTAGTGCTATTTGTGCATTCACGCGTTTGACGCGAATTCGCGTCTGCCGCCCGAGTTGAAAAATCTGAACTTCTGCGTCAATTCGCGCCGCGTTAACCAATCAGGAGCCTAGCTGCTTGCTGCTGTCACGTGGTGAAGTATCTGGATGCTTCAATAAATTATTTTGTAATATATGACTGTGGTTCTAATGCACAACAAAGCAAATATTTTATCACATAAAACTTGATTTCAATATATGAGACATATTCATTTTGCATTGAATGCTATTTATTCCATATCTAGATTATATGAAATATTATTATAATGTAAAGACAACCAACATATAAGTTCGTGTCTGGACAGTGATGTGTGAGAGAGAGAGAAAAATCACAGGACAGATTAATCACTTTTGGAGGCTGGCTTCATTTATTATCAAAACAAAAATAAATGACAGATTAGGTGGATGCGGGCGAGGGTGAACCTGGCGCCGGGCTGTAGAGCGCGGGCTCGACAGGCATAGCTAGACCACTCGAGGCCGAGGGCTTATACGGCCTACGCTGTCCTCATCAGCGTCCTCACCATTAGGTCCACCAAACCTAGCTCCTGGAGCAAATTGTGAAACTCCTGAAACCCTCCGGAGGTTCTGGTGGACCCGAGTACAGCGACGATGTCCCCTACGGAGCTGCTTCTGCTCTCCAGAGCATATACGAGCGGTGACTCTCTCGAATAATGCTAATGCTAATGCTCGATAAACATCTAAAAAGATGGCCGCCAACGGGTTTCGAAACTTTCGCCTCCGGATTTCGCCTCTGACGCGCGTAAATTTCGCTTCAAACTTTTGTTTTTACGCGCGTCAATTTCGCCATTGACACGCGAATTAACACAAAGTGGTCAAGCGTCAAACTAGACGCGGTAGACGCGAATTTGACGCGCTATTCGCGTCCGGTGTGAACGCACAGTAACAATGATATGAACAATCCTCCAGATTTAGATCTAGATATCTAGAATTTATTGTGTTGTCTATCACATATATCAGTGCTGCAATGAATCAGTCGGGTTTGTTCAATCAACCGATTTAAATATCAGTCGTTTTGTTCTTTTAAGAGAAATAAATATCGATTGTTTTGTTCTATTGAGAGATTTAAATACCGGTCAATTTTATTCATTTAAAGATAGTAAGTTTTGTATTTACTGATTTGGATCTTTTAAGAGATTTTAATATCGGTCAGTTTTAAATAAATTAAATATTAAATTAAATATCGGTCGTTTTGTTCTATTAAGAGATTCAAATATCGGTCAGTTTTATTCTATTCGATCAAATATCGGTCGTTTTATTCTATTAAATATCGGCCGTTTTGTTCTATTCGATCAAATATCGGTCGTTTTATTCTATTAAATATCGGCCGTTTTGTTCTATTAAGAGATTTAAATATCGGTCAGTTTTATTCTATTAAATATCAGCCGTTTTGTTCTATGAAATATCGGCCGTTTTGTTCTATTAAGAGATTCAAATATCGGTCAGTTTTATTCTATTAAATATCGTCCGTTTTGTTCTATGAAATATCGGCCGTTTTGTTCTATTAAGAGATTCAAATATCGGTCAGTTTTATTCTATTAAATATCGACCGTTTTGTTCTATCAAATATCGGCCGTTTTGTTCTATCAAATATCGGCCATTTTGTTCTATTAAATATCGGTCATTTTGTTCTATTAAGAGATTTAAATATCGGTCAGTTTTATTCTATTCGATCAAATATCGGTCGTTTTATTCTATTAAATATCGGCCGTTTTGTTCTATTAAATATCGGTCGTTTTGTTCTATTAAGAGATTCAAATATCGGTCAGTTTTATTCTATTAAATATCGGCCGTTTTGTTCTATCAAATATCGGCCGTTTTGTTCTATTAAATATCGGCCGTTTTGTTCTATTAAGAGATTCAAATATCGGTCAGTTTTATTCTATTAAATATCGGTCGTTTTGTTCTATTAAGAGATTCAAATATCGGTCAGTTTTATTCTATTAAATATCGACCGTTTTGTTCTATCAAATATCGGCCGTTTTGTTCTATCAAATATTGGCCGTTTTGTTCTATTAAGAGATTTAAATATCGGTCAGTTTTATTATATTCGATCAAATATCGGTCGTTTTATTCTATTAAATATCGGCCGTTTTGTTCTATTAAATATCGGTCGTTGTGTTCTATTAAGAGATTCAAATATCGGTAAGTTTTATTCTATTAAATATCGGCCGATTTGTTCTATTAAATATCGTCCGTTTTGTTCTATTAAGAGATTCAAATATCGGTCAGTTTTATTCTATTCGATCAAATATCGGTCGTTTTATTCTATTAAATATCGGCCGTTTTGTTCTATTAAATATCGGTCGTTTTGTTCTATTAAGAGATTCAAATATCGGTCAGTTTTATTCTATTAAATATCGGCCGTTTTGTTCTATCAAATATCGACCGTTTTGTTCTATTAAATATCGGCCGTTTTGTTCTATTAAGAGATTCAAATATCGGTCAGTTTTATTCTATTAAATATCGAACGTTTTGTTCTATCAAATATCGGTCGTTTTGTTCTATTAAGAGATTCAAATATCGGTCAGTTTTATTCTATTAAATATCGACCGTTTTGTTCTATCAAATATCGGCCGTTTTGTTCTATCAAATATTGGCCGTTTTGTTCTATTAAATATCGGTCATTTTGTTCTATTAAGAGATTTAAATATCGGTCAGTTTTATTCTATTCGATCAAATATCGGTCGTTTTATTCTATTAAATATCGGTCGTTTTGTTCTATTAAGAGATTCAAATATCGGTCAGTTTTATTCTATTAAATATCGGCCGTTTTGTTCTATCAAATATCGGCCGTTTTGTTCTATCAAATATCGGCCGTTTTGTTCTATTAAGAGATTTAAATATCGGTCAGTTTTATTCTATTCGATCAAATATCGGTCGTTTTATTCTATTAAATATCGGCAGTTTTGTTCTATTAAATATCGGTCGTTTTGTTTTATTAAGAGATTCAAATATCGGTCAGTTTTATTCTATTAAATATCGGCCGTTTTGTTCTATCAAATATCGGCCGTTTTGTTCTATTAAATATCGGCCGTTTTGTTCTATTAAGAGATTCAAATATCGGTCAGTTTTATTCTATTAAATATCGGCCGTTTTGTTCTATTAAGTATCGGTCGTTTTGTTCTATTAAGAGATTCAAATATCGGTCAGTTTTATTCTATTAAATATCGACCGTTTTGTTCTATCAAATATCGGCCGTTTTGTTCTATCAAATACTGGCCGTTTTGTTCTATTAAATATCGGTCATTTTGTTCTATTAAGAGATTTAAATATCGGTCAGTTTTATTCTATTCGATCAAATATCGGTCGTTTTATTCTATTAAATATCGGCCGTTTTGTTCTATTAAATATCGGTCGTTTTGTTCTATTAAGAGATTCAAATATCGGTCAGTTTTATTCTATTAAATATCGGCCGTTTTGTTCTATCAAATATCGGCCGTTTTGTTCTAGTAAATATGGGCCGTTTTGTTCTATTAAGAGATTCAAATATCGGTCAGTTTTATTCTATTCGATCAAATATCGGTCGTTTTATTCTATTAAATATCGGCCGTTTTGTTCTATTAAATATCGGTCGTTTTGTTCTATTAAGAGATTCAAATATCGGTCAGTTTTATTCTATTAAATATCGGCCGTTTTGTTCTATCAAATATCGGCCGTTTTGTTCTATTAAATATCAGCCGTTTTGTTCTATTAAGAGATTCAAATATTGGTCAGTTTTATTCTATTCGATCAAATAGCGGTCGTTTTATTCTATTAAATATCGGCCGTTTTGTTCAATTAAATATCGGTCGTTTTGTTCTATTAAGAGATTCAAATATCGGTCAGTTTTATTCTATTAAATATCGGTCGTTTTGTTCTATCAAATATCGGTCGTTTTGTTCTATTAAGAGATTCAAATATCGGTCAGTTTTATTCTTTTCGATCAAATATTGGTCGTTATATTCTATTAAATATCGGTCGTTTTATTCTATTAAGAGATTCAAATATCGGTCAGTTTTATTCTATTCGATCAAATATCGGTTGTTTTATTCTATTAAGAGATTTAAATATCGGTCAGTTTTATTCTATTAAATATCGGTCGTTTTGTTCTATTAAGAACATGTGAAATGTTGATTTAAAGATAGTAAGTTATGTTTTAACCGATTTTGTTCTTTTAAGAGATTTAAATATCGGTCTAAGCGAGAATAAGCGATTCTCAAACAGTATTAATGAAACTATGATCGGTTGTTGCAGGGGAAAGTCTGATGCTCGGACACAAAGGTAATTCATATAATAGTACATTTTGTTTCTAAGCAAGAGTAATTCTCACAAAGCCTCAATGAAGAAACGATTGGTTGTCTAATGAAAAAGCGAGTTTGATTTCACCCGGAGGACTGAGCACAATAAGGTTCCTCAGGCCCGCGAGAGTGAGAGCATCAGTACCTGCACTTGGTCCAGCCGTCTCCCAGCGTGACCCACAGGTGTCTCTCGTCCGCAGAACCCGACGCGTGCAGGAACTCGATGGCTTCTCTGGTGAGGAGGGGGACGATGACGCTTTTAGCCAGATCGACCCCTCCAGACGTCTGGATCACCTGAGTCAAGTCAAGCCCCTCCATTTATTCAGCGCTTTAACAACACACACGCTCCACAGCAGCTTTACAGTGATAACAGGAGATTACAGTAACAGAGAGTGTTTAGGCTTTACACCAGCTCTAGAATAAAGTTATTGTCCAGATAAAGTTGTGATTGATTCACTTTCGTCGCAAAGATCATTAGTGATTAACTTAGTGGCCGTTCACAGACATATTTGATGAGCGCGTGAACACAACGGCCAATCAGAGGTGTTTATGATTCCGCTCAATTGCGCTCAAAGATTTACATTTTTTACATTTCTGTACTAACCTGGTACCGAAGTCAGTACTTTTGACAACACTACTGTACACACACACACACACACACACACACACCATCAGAACACGTACCAGTCTGAGCGGATTGAACAGGAAGTGAACCAGATCCACAGCGCTGGGGTTCTGAATGTGGTTCTTCAACTTCCCCTGCAACGACAAACAATCACAGAATATTAATGAGATTCTCCAGCTAAACATTAGTAAGTATATTCATTTTATCCCTGATTTACAACTGGTTAACGTCACTCACCAGCAGGTTGAAGGCATGTTTGAACTTCTGGAAACAGTCGACAAACTCGTCCTGAGACGGAGGTTTAGCTCTCAGCGTCAAAACTCCCTCTGATCAAAGACACACAGCAAACACACTCGTTACACACTCGCTACACACTCGTCACACACTCGTGACACACTCGTCACACACTCGCGACACACTCGTCACACACTCGCGACACACTCGTCACACACTCGTGACACACTCGTCACACACTCGCGACACACTCGTTACACACTCGCGACACACTCGTCACACACTCGTCACACACTCGCAACACACTCGTCACACACTCGTCACACTCGTTACACACTCGCGACACACTCGTCACACACTCGCGACACACTCGCCACACACTCGTGACACACTCGTCACACACTCGCAACACACTCGTCACACACTCGCGACACACTCGTGACACACTCGTCACACACGTCACACACTCGCGACACACTCGTCACACACTCGCGACACACTCGTCACACACTCGTGACACACTCGTCACACACGTCACACACTCGCGACACACTCGTTACACACTCGCGACACACTCGTCACACACTCGTCACACACTCGCGACACACTCGCGACACACTCGTCACACACTCGCGACACACTCGTCACACACTCGCGACACACTCGTCACACACTCGTGACACACTCGTCACACACGTCACACACTCGCGACACACTCGTTACACACTCGTTACACACTCGCGACACACTCGTCACACACTGGCGACACACTCGTCACACACTCATGACACACTCGTCACACACTCGCGACACACTCGCCACACACTCGTCACACACTCGCGACACACTCGCTACACACTTGTCACACACTCGTGACACACTCGTCACACACTCGTGACACACTCGTCACACACTCGTCACACACTCGCGACACACTCGCCACACACTCGTGACACACTCGTCACACACTCGCGACACACTCGCTACACACTTGTCACACACTCGTGACACACTCGTCACACACTCGTGACACACTCGTCACACACTCGCGACACACTCGCGACACACTCGTCACACACTCGCGACACACTCGCGACACACTCGTCACACACTCGCGACACACTCGTCACACACTCGCGACACACTCTTCACAGACTCGTGACACACCTCGTACACACTCACAACACACTCGTTATACACTCGTTACACACTCGTTATACACTCGTTACACACTCGCCACACACTCGTCACACACTCGTCACACACTCGCGACACACCTCGTACACACTCGCCACACACTCGCGACACACTCGTTATACACTCGCGACACACTCGTTATACACTCGCGACACACTCGTTATACACTCATTACACACTCGCTACACACTCGCCACACAGTCGCGACACACTCGTTACACACTCGCGACAGACTTGTTAAACACTCGTCAGACACTCGTGACACTTGTTACACACTCGTGACACAGTTGTTACATACTCGCGACACACTAGTTACACACTCGCGACACACTTGTTACACACTCGTGACACACTAGTTACACCCTCGTGACACACCTCGTACACACTCGTTACACACTCGTCACACACTCGTCATACACTCGTTACACCCTCGTGACACACCTCGTACACACTCGCAACACACTCGTTATACACTCGTTACACACTCGCTACACACTCGTGACACTCGTTACACACTCGCGACACACTCGTTACACACTCGCGACACACTCGTTACACACTCGTTACACACTCGTTACACACTCGCGACACACTCGTTACACACTCGTTACACACTCGCGACACACTCGCGACAGACTTGTTACACACTCGTCAGACACTCGTGACACACTTGTTACACACTCGTGACACAGTCGTTACATACTCGCAACACACCTGTTACACACTCGCAACACACTCGTTACACACTCGTGACACACTCGTTACACCCTCGTGACACCTCATTACACACTCGCGACACATTCGTTACACACTTGTGAGTCGTGACACACTCGCGACACTCATTATACACTCGTGACACACCTCGTTACACCCTCGTGACAAACTCATTACACACTCATTACACACTCATGAAGGTCTCGTTACACACTCGTTACAGTCTCGTTACACACTCGTTACAGTCTCATTACACACTCATTACACACTCCTGAAAGGTCTCGTTACACACTCGTTACAGTCTCGTTACACACTCATGAAGGTCTCGTTACACACTCGTTACACACGCATGAAGGTCTCGTTACACACTCGTTACACACTCATGAAGGTCTCGTTACACACTCGTTACAGTCTCGTTACACACTCGTTACACACTCATGAAGGTCTCGTTACACACTCGTTACACACGCATGAAGGTCTCGTTACACACTCGTTACACACTCATGAAGGTCTCGTTACACACTCGTTACACACGCATGAAGGTCTCGTTACACACTCGTTACACACTCATGAAGGTCTCGTTACACACTCGTTACAGTCTCGTTACACACTCATGAAGGTCTCGTTACACACTCGTTACACACGTATGAAGTACTCGTTACACACTCGTTACACACGCATGAAGGTGTCGTTACACACTCGTTACAGTCTCGTTACACACTCATGAAGGTGTCGTTACACACTCGTTACAGTCTCGTTACACACGCATGAAGGTGTCGTTACACACTCGTTACACACTCATGAAGGTCTTGTTACACACTCGTTACAGTCTCGTTACACACTCATGAAGGTCTCGTTACACACGCATGAAGGTGTCGTTACACACTCGTTACACACTCATGAAGGTCTCGTTACACACTCGTTACAGTCTCGTTACACACGCATGAAGGTCTCGTTACACACTCGTTACACACTCATGAAGGTCTCGTTACACACTCGTTACAATCTCGTTTCACACTCATGAAGGTCTCGTTACACACTCGTTACACACGCATGAAGGTGTCGTTACACACTCGTTACACACATGAAGGTGTCGTTACACACTCTTTACACACTCATGAAGGTCTCGTTACACACGCATGAAGGTCTCGTTACACACTCGTTACACACGCATGAAGGTGTCGTTACACACTCGTTACACACGCATGAAGGTCTCGTTACACACTCGTTACACACTCGTTACACACTCGTTACACACTCATGAAGGTCTTGTTACACAATCGTTACAGTCTCGTTACACACTCATGAAGGTCTCGTTACACACTCGTTACACACGCATGAAGGTCTCGTTACACACTCGTGACACACTCGTGACAGCCTCGTGACGAAGAGGAGGATCTGGACGCATCATGTGATGATGACACGCTCACCTCCAGGTCCTTTCTTCTTGCTCTTCTTGGTTTTCTTGCGTTTGGAGAGCTCACTAAAGGCCTCGGCAGCTTTCTGCAGTTTGGTGACAAAGTGTTCGATGTCGTCCAGAACGTGGTTGAGGATTTGCTGTAACACACATCAGTGTTTAACCATCTGCATCACACACACACACACACACAGATGTATGAACAGTGAAGTCACTCACCACGTCTCTGTCCACCTGCGCTGCGCTCATCTCAGGAGACCCGTCCAGCTCGGTGTAAAGTCTCTGCGGATCACCTGACGACACACACACACACACACACACACACACACACAGAGTGAGACACGCTCCGGAATGGGAACGACAGACACACTTCGTGTTTCCTGATCCACTCACTGTCCTGCTGCTCACTGGTCCAGGCAGTCCAACTGGCCACTCGGGTCTTGGTGTCCCCTTGATTGACAGCTCCTGGAGGCTGGGGGGCGGGGCCTCCCGGGGGCGGGGGGATGGTCCCGTCACTCTTGAGGATCATTCTGACACACACAGAGATACGGATGCTGCATTACTGTGGCAACAGTCATCATCACCACTTCCACCATCATCATCATCATCATCATCATCACCACTTCCACCATCATCATCATCATCATCATCACCACTTCCACCATCATCATCATCATCATCATCACCACTTCCACCATCATCATCATCATCACCACTTCCACCATCATCATCATCACCACTTCCACCATCATCATCATCATCATCATCATCATCACCACTTCCACGATCATCATCATCATCACCACTTCCACCATCATCATCATCACCATCATCATCACCATCATCACTACTACCATCATCACCTTCACCATCATCATCATCATCATCACCATCATCTTCACCATCACCATCATCATCTTCACCACCATCATCATCACCACTTCCACCATCATCATCATCACCATCATCACTACTACCATCATCACCATCATCATCATCATCATCATCATCACCACTTCCACTATCATCATCATCACCATCATCATTATCTTCACCATCATCTTCATCATCATCACTACAACCATCACCATCACCATCATCTTCATCATCATCATCACATCACCATCACCATCATCATCTTAACCACTACCATCATCACCATCATCTTCATCCTCACCATCACTACTACCATCACCATCATCTTCATCATCACCATCATCATCACCATCACTACTACCATCACCATCATCATCACCATCACTACTACCATCACCATCATCTTCATCATCATCACCATCACTACTACCATCATCATCATCACATCACCATCATCATCATCTTAACCACTACCATCATCACCATCATCTTCATCCTCACCATCACTACTACCATCAGCATCATCTTCATCATCATCACCATCACAACTACCATCACCATCATCTTCATCATCTTCATCATCACCATCTTCATCATCATCACCATCACTACTACCATCATCACCATCACCATCATCTTCATCATCATCACAATCACTACTACCATCACCATCATCTTCATCATCTTCATCATCACCATCATCATCTTCATCATCATCACCATCACTACTACCATCATCACCATCATCTTCATCATCATCATCTTCACCACTACCATCATCACCATCACCATCATCTTCATCATCACCATCATCATCTTCATCATCTTACTTCAGAGCCTCCGGCCTCTTCTTCACTTTCCCGCTCTTGTGATCGCTGACGGCGCTCTCGATGTCCATGTGGATTAAGTTGGCCTGAGGGAGTCAAAGCACACACACGCTAGTGACGAAGAGTCGACAGGAATGATTGACAGCTTTGCTTCCTCACAAACGCTGACCTTGATGTCGTCGCACTGGAACAGGTGCAGGTCTGCTTTCCCCTGCCCGGACTCCTTACACACCAGCGCCAGGATCGAGTCGTACCCGCAGGCGTTGATCACGGCCTGGCAGTGCTGGACCGAGCCCAGGGGGAAGTTCTCCAGCTCGTTCTGAAACACACACACACACAGTCGCTGAGTTGTGTACGCATAAAATGTCATTTACATCTTTTAGTTTGTCAAGATATTTAAAGCACCGCTATTGAAGACTGCGCATGTGTGAACGAGCTCTAGTGTGCAAGAACGAGTCTATGATACCCCTTTTCCACCAACAAGAACCGGGTGCTGGTTCAGAGCCAGAGCCAGAGCTGGTTCGGAGTTGGTTCAACTGACAAGCTTACTAAGAACCGGTTTGCCTTTCCACCGGCTAGAGAGCCACAACAGAGCCAGATCTTACGTCACTGCATACTTCTCATGTTGCCCAGCAACGCTAGTGCGGTAGCGCCAAACACAAATACGCCAGGCTTGTTTGAGATGCATTGGCTTCTCGCAGATCGATCGCCGCATGACATCAAAGCACTGCGAAAGCGATCCAAAAGCACAAGGAGTCGTATGATCTCCAAACACTCCCGCAGCTCCGATCGGTCCGCGCCGCGCCGATGCATCTCGAAAAAGCCATCAACAATAACGGACGTTGCGTTACTATGGATGCTCATGGGTTTGCAAAAATACATCGGAATCCAACGTGTTTGTGCAGCTCGCCGTAACTTACATGACGGATATTATAATCAAGCTGCTATTAGCTCGACTAGCTGCTATTTAAAAATGGCGGTCAGAAGTTTCTATTCGTCTTGTTGGTCACGGTAACCCCGCCCCCAGCCCCTGACGCAAGTGGTTCTCACTTGGCTCTGTTCTAGACCAGCAATGAATTGGTGCTACTTAAGAACCACTTTTCCTGGTTCGGAGCTGGGGCCTCATGTATCAACACTGAGTGCGTACGCACAAAAACACGGCGTACGTCAGCTTTCACGTTCACGGCCAGATGTACTAACAGTGAAATTAACGTAAGAATGTGCGTTCCTCCAAGTAAACTTCATGTCTGGCGTACGTACATTTGTCGTGATTTTTGTCCGTTGGCGACTCATAGAGGCAATAAAGTGAAGTGGCAAACATTACACTACGAATTGTTCTATTGCACCACCAGCTGTCAGATATTGCTTATAATTTGTAATTGATAAATTATTTGACATATTATTGTCACACGAGTTTTTAAAAAATATTATATTATGCAATTAAGTAAGAACATAAGCATGTCCAAATTGATACAACCCGTCTAGCAATGGCAGCGTTGGCTTAACTAGGAATAAAAAATAAACTTCATTAATTCGGTCAGTAAAGATAAAAAAAGAAAGTAATATTTTTATTCAGCAAGGACACATTGAAGTGACAAGTAAAAGGGACAGTAAATGCATTTATAATGTTACAAATGATAAGATTTCGACATCTGTTTGATTTAAGTTTTAATTCATTAAAGAATCCTGAAAATACTATATCACGGTTTCCACGAAAATATGAAGCAAAAGCACAGCTGTTTTTAACACTGATAATAATCATAACTGTTTCTTGATCATCAAATCATCATATTAGAGTGATTCCTGAAGGATCATGTGACACTGAAGACTGGAGTAATGATGCTGAAAATACAGCTTTGATCACAGGAATAAATTACACTTTACTGTATATTCACATAGAAAACATTTTCAGTGAAATTTTGTTTCTTGCTTGCTTTAGCCATGTTCTTGTAGGTTTCTTTTGCCAAAATGGACAAATTACCATATTTAAATTAATTTAATTGGGGGAGGAGACTGGGTGGGGCGTTGTGCTCGTGCATGTGCGCTCAATTTTACGTTAATTGGGATGTACAAAGAGAATATGCGTGGGATCCTTCGTACGCAGAGATTCATACATCTGCTTTTTTTTGTGCGTACGCACATTTACAGCTTTGTCCGTACGCAATGTTTTAGTAGGAATTCAACGCAAGTCTTTGTACATGAGGCCCCTGGTGCTTTGCGTGTGGAAAAACAAAGAACCGAATTGAAACTAGGCTCTGGCTCCGAACCAGCAGCCTTGGTGGAAAAGGGGTATGAGTGAATCTGGAAATAAAGCGAAATAACTGAGAAAAATGAGAAATATTCCTCAGATGCATGTCTGTAATCAAAACATCTAGCGTTAATTCGATCTCAAGCAATTCATTAACGGTAGTTATTGCCTGACGTCATAAACCAACACGGTTGAACGACCACTTTGCGACGCTGTGGTTTCGGGAAACAGCCGTGACTCGCTAGTGTGTGGCAGTGAAGCCGCGAGTTACGGCGCGGTGGGAAACGCCCCCTGGTGGCTGCTCCTGTACCTTGCTGTTGGTGTCGATGAGACTGATGGATTTGGCGTCCACCTGCAGGATCATGTCCTGCGTCCACACCTTGCCTTTAGCGTCCAGCAGACGCAGCTTCCGCACGCCGTCCTCGATGGTCAGAACCGCCTCTTTACGGTCCATCACAAACGTGGTGAGATGCTGCGCGAGGAAAACACACGACGGGGTTAGACATTTTGATTGAAGTTGCGCTGGTCTCTTCTCCTCTATTGTGTCGTATATCGAGTCAAACGCTTCTGGAACAAGAACGAATGTGGGCGGGGCTTGATTTTGACCGAGGGAATTGATTGGATGGTTGTGGTTTGCTATTGGCTGATCTCATGTGAGTGACAGGTTATAGCCCCGCCCACATCATCAGAGAGTTAAATTCAAGAATCGTCAATGTTGATCTCATGGGGACTTTAAAGAGGCGGTTGATCATGATTTCCCTGTTCCGACTGTAGTTAGTGTGTAGTGTTGATGTTTGAGCGTAAACAACATCTGCACAGTTACACACTCAACGCTCAGAGCAAAGGGAGAGATTTACTTTTACAGAAATCGCTTTTTAAGGACTACAACAAACGGCTGGTAGAACTACACGAGCTTCCTCACGGGTTAGTGACATCATAAACCCTAAAATTTACATAAACCCCGCCCCCGGAACACGATTTATAGATTATCATGACAGAAAATGCTAATCACTGACTAGAAGAGAGTTAACTCCACATCAGCTGCATAAACCCATCAACTAACCAT